CCCCCCCCCCAACCTCCTTCTTTCAAGTCAAATAGTCCACCTCCTAAGTCCCAGCTTTCATGAGTGTTTTCAATCGTAGGCAAACGCGTCAAAAATTAGGTATTTACTGAAGACGACCCCGTCAGTGTAGAAAAACTTTGCAGGCTAGGCTGCCAGTTATGTTCCATGTCTTTATTAGAAGGATGGATAAGAAACCGAAGGAAGTAAATTCCATCAGATCAAAGACGCGAAGCAATGCAATTAAAATTCTCCCGGCTGTTCGTACAATGGCAGCCAGTGCCAGCATGCCTTGCAAGCCGACTGTTACGTCTTGTCCCATCATGCATCTTGACCCATTCATAAGTAGAAACAATGTACACCGTAAGACATCTTTTTTGTTTCAATGCGCCACGTTGGAAGAATGTACTCTCAAAGGAGATTATAAAATTAAAGATTGAAGCGCAGCCAGGATGAGACATAATAAGCCTACAAAGCCTGTAAAAATTCGTTATTTTGGAGATGTTTACAATTGTCCAACTCCTGTTTTGTTGGCATCAAAAGGACGCCTACAGTTAAGAGCTATTTGTTGTAACCAATGGAAACTCTGCTCTCACACAACAATGCAATGGCAGGCCATCAGTTTCTCAGCTAAGGGACCTTAAGCTCTTCTTTCAGAATTGCTTTCTAAAATGACTTGAAGAGCTAAAGTAATCACGAAGTCCAAGAAATTTAGCCAGGAGAAGGCTGAAACTTAGCTACATGAAACTGCCGTCTACATTCTTGTCAAGACAGGCTGATATCGTAGATATTACACAGGAAGGTCATGTCCGTCAAATTGATTAACAGACGTTAAAATAACCTCGGGAACTGATTCTTTCATAATTCAACTGTACCTCAACAAGGTTCTTTCAATCTTTCGAGTCACTTGTTCGCCAGAACTTTCGGTGCGTAAGGTAAGTTCCGTTCCCATAAACACTCCCAGTGCTAATTAAGAACATTTATTTGTAGAAGTTCAAGAACACACCAGAAAGCCTTTGTTTTTTCGCTCGCTTTTTACTGGTTACTTGACATGATATATGGCGCACTCGTTGGAGATATTAGGGAGCTCAAGCACACCACAACAACGCGAGACAAACTGAGCAGATCTACGGACTAGATAATCGCGAATTATATATCACCGTTTTCTTTTGTTTTCATCTCAATCATTTATGGAAGTGCCAAAAAACCTGACGACAAAAAAAAAAGTAAAGAGGACGAGCAAATTTCGGCAGGTTTAAGTTAAACCCATCTCCGTTTGCAAGCAANTTCGTATAAATTCATTTTTCATCGGACGTTGTCCCCAGCGTCGGCGTCGCTTTTGCTTGTTCGGTGTCCTTCGAAGTTATTTTTCCTCCTTTTTCGCCACGATGCTGGTTGAGGTGCATGAAGCGACAAGACGCGACCGATGCAGAGAAAGCTCGTAGTAACAATTAAGTTCATTTCCACAACAACTGTTTGGGTGATTTTGGCCGCTTCAATTTTCTTTTACAACATCCTTTGAATAAAAACCTGGAAAACTCAATTGGCAACAAGCCACCTATACACAATTCTGGGATGAATCGGGAGGTTTAGTTCACGCCACTAAGGAATTATACGGACCTTTTAATCCTATCGTCATCATAATTTCATCTACAGAACGTCAATGGTTTCCCAAGAATGGACAAAGGTGAGGGGGGG